ACTGTACATGTATAGTTTACAGGTACAGGTAAGAGTTACAGGTAAAGGTACAGGCGCAGTTAAAGGTTAAATGTATAAGGCATGGTTTACAGGTACAGTCACCTCAAAAAATCCGCGTCCCTTTCCTAATGAATCAGTATCGACACTAAATGAGATAATGGACCGCTAGCTGTGTTGAGATCCTGAACTACATACACCATTGACCAGTAAACATTCTTGGTCATAATGTCCCTTACCTGAGGATGTTACAACTCCATAACATTCCGTTTTAATGTTATAGTAAATATTATAAACAAACGAACGATTCCTCACTTCCTCTTTCCTTTGGGGTTGTCACACACACACACAGGTAAAGGTACAGGTAGAAATACAGTAATCACCAGACCGTAACAACACAACTACATGAAATATTAATGCAGACAGTACTAGTCATTTTCCCCAATGGCAAACAACCCCACGAAAACGATGGCGAAAGTGCTTACAATATCATTCACATCTCTAATAAAACGAAAAGAAAATAATAGTACAAATAACAATGAAAAGTGTCACTAGGAATAATCACTCCAAAGGCTTTAATTCTATTTGTGTATTAAGCTTACGTTTCATTCATTCAATCCTGCATTACACTAAGCTGAAAGATAATGTGTATAATTCACTTTAATTATCTTAGTTATACCAAATTGAAAGGCAATATGTGTATAATTTATCCATTATTATACTAATTATTCTAACTTCATAGATAATGTGTGTAAAATAAACAGAGAAGGACGGGTAGACTGAGACAGACACACAGACAGAGGACAGATAGAGAAGGAGACAAGGAAAGGGAGAGATACAAACAGAGAGAAAGTCAGAGGAGGAGAGACAGAGTCAGAGAAACAGAAGATTGACAGACAGAAAAGAGAGGCAAACAGACAGACAGAAAGAAGAGAAAGACAAAAAGACAGAAAGACACAGATGGGGAGAAAGAAAAGAGAGAAAGAGAGAGATACAGATAGACAGGCAGACAGGCAGATACAGAGAAAAAAAGCAGACAGAGATAGACACAGAACGAGATAAAATAAAGAAAGACAGACAGACAGACAGAAGGACAGATAGAAAGACAGACACACACAGAGAAAGGAGAGAGAGACAGACATAAAGACACAGAACGAGAGAAAATAGAGACAGACAGACAGACAAACACAGAGACAGACAGACAGACAGACAGACAGAGGCAGACAAAGTAGACAACGTATTCAATAAACCACAAAAGTTAATATTGTCATCAAGCACCGCAAAAAAAAAGTCTTCGTTGGGTCCTGTTATTTTTTATTGGGCACTCCCCTACACCTAGAGGAAGGTCAGTCTGTAAGGTCATAGGTCATAGGTGGCATGGAAGGGTCATAACAGCATCACAAAGAGTCCCTCCTCTTTCATTTGTTCATCCCTTCCTCTATCTCCCTTAACTCTCCCTCTTCTCTCTTATCTCTCCCTTCCTTCATAACTCAATCCATCCTTCTCCCTCTCTATCCCATCCTCCCTCATCTTTCTCCCATACCTCTCTCTCCCTCTCTCTCTTAACGCCAGCCTCCCTCTCCCACCCACACCATCATCACAGTCTCACCTGTATTTGACGTTCAACATCTGACATCAAGGTGGTTTGGCTTTGTATGTATATGTATGAGTGTATATGTATGTGAATATATGTATATCTTGATACCTCTATGTATCCATGAAATAATAATAACAATAACAAAATAATAATAAATAATAATAATAATAATAATAATAATAATAATAATAATAATAATAATAATAATATAACAGAAGTGTGTTATTACTTAGAAAATAATATAGTAAAATACTTCCTCTTAAAAATTATGCACAGAAAAGCAAGTTTAATAATTTTATGAACAGTGGCACAACATATTCAGATCGGAATATAAACCAAAGCAGTAAACACACACACCACATCTCCTTTGAACAGCGTTATGTGTATTGTCGCTCATGGATGGAGTGTGTTTGATGCTAAAATTAAACTATAGCCACCATGACAACCATGACCCACCGAGGACAACCTGCAACACATATAACCGTATCTGCCTCCAGGTATATGAAATAGCACTGGTAGATTAATATTGTGACTAATGAAAGTATTTAGGAATCACGATGATGAGGACGTCTTCTGTGATCATGAGCTAGTAGTGAGGACCTGACTATCATTAGTAGTGTTGGAGTGTACAGTATAACTAGGGTTGTTGTCAAGTATTCAGACGTTTATGACTGCTTGACGACTTGTGACTGTTGACCCTCTCTCATCTCTCCCTCCCCACCCCTCTCTCTTATCTCTTCCTTCTTCCCTCTCTCTTATCTCTCCCTTCTTCCCTCTTCTTAACTCTCTCTCTCTCTCTCTTAATTCGCCCTCCTTCCTTCTCTCTTATATCTCTCCTCCTGCCTCTCTCGTATCTCTCCCTGACTCTCTCTCTTCGCTCTTTCCTTCCCTCTCTTAATTCTCCTCCCTCCCTCTCTCTTAACTCTCCTCCTTCCCTCCCCCCCTCTATTTTATCTCTCCTTCCTCTCTCTCTCCTCACTTTTATACCTCGTCCCTCCCTCTCTAACTTGTGTCGTTCTGTCAGCCACCAAAATGATTGATTCGCCTAACCAAGACTGGAGGACTACCCATCAAGGTGACAGCGTAATTGCATCAAGTAGTCAATCAGGTTAATTACATCTTAATCACCTCTAGTCTTCGAGATAATCACCTGTATTATACTTCGTTTTCGAATTTGCACCCTACTGGGAATAAGTAGCTAATGACTTTGTTGGTTATCCTTGGTCGAAATGCCATTCTGTTTACCTTATTTGTATACCCGCGCTAAGTACGTTGGAAATTGTTTACCTGCATTGTCTACATTCTCCATATACATACACCTGCATTGGCTATGTACTGTATATCTATATGCTAAGCTGAATATCTAGATTGGCTATATACATGCTGAATTGTATACCTGCCTTGTGTGTATACATCCTGAGCTGTATACCTACAGTTTATATACATGCTGACCCTTATATCTACATTGGCTATATACATAATGAAACAAATGTAAACTTGTATGACAATCTTACTCAATATCTATCTATCTATCTATCTATCTATCTATCTATCTATCATCTTAACTGGAGCTAATTGAACATTTCTGGTTAAAGTAGTTCTGATGTCACTATAGCTTTATGTTTTAGCTTAAGTTACCCAGAAATCACCTGAAGATTCGTCCCCAGCTTATTTCACCTGAAGATTAAACACCCTAACGTTATCTGGGGGAGGGGTTAGGTTAGGTTAGGTTAGGTTAGGTAAGGTTAGGTTAGGTTAGGTTAGGTTAGGTAAGGTGATCCCTAATTAGTTACGAAGAATATTCATCACGAGATCATTAATAACTTTAGTGGTAGGTATAATTTGTCGTTTGACTTAACCCATATCTGCTATAATTCTGTTATGTATAAGTAGTATAATGGACTGTTAATTAAGAGTTGAAAAAATATAAAAAATAGTTTGGGTAATGGTAACAAAAATGTATTGGCGTAATTGGTGTCAAATATAAATCGAAGATGATATTAATAAGTCTTTGGACATACTAACTTCGTGTTAGGAAATAAGTTACAAAGGTTATTCACATGAGTAAGTTGATCGTCTGGTTCATGAGGTCATTTACCATAGACAAAAATAACATGATAAATGCTATTTAAGTTAATGAATACACGAGCATCTTCCACTTCTCCCGGACACACGTGAGACGGGTGTTGTCCACTACCAAACATCACAAGTTTCTTCCAGTACTCAACAAATTAAGTCCATCACCAAGTAAAACGGAACGAACCAACCGTCCGAATGACTAGTAATCTGGTAAGTGGTGAAATGATAAAGATAAAGAATAATAGTAAACTTTAAGCAAATATGCTAAAGTTCCATGCTATAAACCACTCATAGAAAATGTATATATTCTTCTTGAGAGAAAACGAAGTAAATATCTGGGGTAACCTACCTTTTGGCTGTAAGTCCCATATCTTGTCGCAAAAACCCAATAACCATGAAATAACATTTCAATAATTGTTATAACAATATTAAACCTTAGGCAGCTCCACACTCAGGTAATTTATTCTGGTTAACGTCAGAAGAATTTATTCAGCTTAGAGAAGTCCCCTGCCCTGTAAAGGGTTAGCTAGTAAATAGCTGTGGATATTTGTCTGGTGTTCGCTTAAGTAGGTTTAAACCCACCTAACCGACATCCGGACAAATATCCACGTCGTAAAGAATATTTTTTTTCTAACCTTGAACAACGAAGTCGCTGGGGACTGCGATCACGACCGAATCCATACAATTTAGCGTTCGTCGCAAGCGATGAGTCGCAGCTGACAGCACGACTGCGGCGGCCCCTCAGCGTGGCGTATACCTGACCCAGGCGGACTTCCGGCAGCCGCAGCTTGCGGGACCAGCTGCCGCGGTGCGTGGAGGCTGCGACGGCTGGGTGTGTGTGTTGCTGAGGGTGGTGAAGTTGGCATTTCATGTGGCCCTCCAGCTGACCCAGATCCAGGGTGGCGGCTGAGAGTGGCGCTCGACGCTTGGGTCGCAACGACAGAGATGAGGCCGAGAGAGCTCGTCCTGGTTGGGGAAATTCGAGAATAAAATATTAACAAATAATCGTGGAAAAGTGGTGAGATAAGAGTAACTCAGAGTAAGTTTCAACACTATCTAGGTTACGCGGCTTAAATAAACAGTTTAAAAACAATGTAAAATCCTAAAGACGCCAGATAGATAATAGGAGGAATTTAAATAGACAGTAAGCTGGGTTGAATATTCGAATTGTTCAGTAACATTTTAAAACTATTAATAAAAAAATTTAAGTTCCTCCTTTAAAATAATATCCTAGGCCAGTTTAAGTTACACTGGATTATTTTAGGTTAGGTTAAATAAGGTTAGTTTCGGTTAAATCCCACACATTCAGATACTGTGCATTATTTACCGTGATGAAAAAAAGATGTTCTAATGAGGATTCAGGAATAACTCTATGGCCGCCAGACCCCGTAAGGTGGTCCACTTGCGGCTTTTGGTGGAATTGGAGGTTCTCCCCACGTTCATGAGGTCCCCTTGGGAGCGTGACGACCGACCCAGGGAGATGTTCTCTGGGTGGAGGAGGCTGGTGTGTGAGCGGGCGAGTCTGGCGGCGTGAGGGAGGCTCTTGGTGCCCTGACCAGATGGGGTCACCAGGCGGACTAAGGAAGTGCTGGTGATGACTGGAGCCGTCACGGGGGTTGTACGTATTGTTATTGGGTAACAGGTAGTGAATGCTGGTAGGACTGTTATTACTGCTATTGTTAGCGCTGTTATTGTTGCTATTATTGTTGGCGAGGTTCTGAGCAGCGATATGCCTTTCCATCAGGGCCAGTAGGTTGCCGAGGGATCCCCCCATGCAGGCGTTGTCCATGACTCCATCTGTAACACAAGAATCAGAAAGTTAATTCAGAATTAACAGGACAAGTACCGACTTAGGCATAATACACATGTAAAGTAATTCCCATAAACGGGTGGTACCTTAACTACCATCTAATAGTAGAGGTACAATAGTTCCCATGAAGTAGCAAAATCATAAAGATATTACACTGCTTGAATCTAGACATGAACACATAAGTATTTAGAAAAATAATCCATCTAGTAATAGATTTTCTCAACATGTGGAGACGTGAAAAGGGACCTGTGTCAACTAAGCAAAGTCATAAAGAGAACAACCAAAATGGCGCCTGCTTTGCATGGAGACTCTATTACAGTTATCCTCCTTAAAGGGAAAACATAAGTGCACAAACTTTAAAAAATTTAGGATCTAAACTTGTCGGAAAAGGTTTAATCCAAATAAACCTTGTCTAAAATAACTCAACCTAACACTATCGTAAGCCACGTTGTAAAATATTTAGCACTACAAAACTTTACTCAAATCCATCATGTGTGTTAAGTTTGTGTTACATATTATTTTAATTCAGTTTTACTAATTCAAAATCTACCAAACCTGAATATTTTATGAAGAATTATATCCGAGTTGTCTGAGCTGCAACATCAACAGTCATTCAGGTTTTACAAAGGAATAATTTACATTGTTATTCTAAAGGTTGGAATGACAGCGTCAATGGACATATCCCAGCAGGTTAATTAAGGTCACCAACATACTTGCGTCACGTCTCTGTGCTGCCTTCACGTCAATATTGTCTGTTGTCTCTAAACATCATTTCATCTCTTTAATAATAACTTTTACTCACACGAATACTTCAAAATCACTTATGCTAATTTCATCTATTGATAATATTAATTAGACAAACATTAACCCCTCAAACGATGATTTAGCGCCAAGTAAAATATTATCTTACTGACAGGAATAAATAAACGTGTTCATAAAGTTAAGATATCGTAGGTAAGGGGATTAGGATTCTCAATTAATGAGGTAATTCAGTGTACTTAGTGGATTATCCAACTCAAGAGGGTTAGATATCTTACTTATTGGGCAGATTCGTACTCATTACACTAAGGGCTAAATCATCGTACTCGAGGGATCAAGGGTTTAGAAATCAGTCATACAAAAAATTAAATCATTAGCTCTCAAGTAGGTCAACGCATACTGTCATGGCAGCTCCCTGAACAGCTGAGTTCACCTCCCGACGCTCCTCCTCATTGGTCATTGCTACCTATCCTTGGTCGTGATTAGTCAATGCCGCCCCGCTCAAGTTTATACTTATAGGCTCTACATTTTCTTCTTTATCAAATGAAATTGCCTCTCTCTTCTTCATTCCTCTTTCCCACTGCCCCTCTCCCCATCATCACCTTTCTCTTCCTCCTCCCTACACCTACCCCCTACACCTACGCTATAAGTGTGACCAATCACGAGGGACACAAAACATGGATCAAAGGTCAAGTGAGGGATGAGGTCACGAAGGTAGATGGTCGCTGATAACCTGAGTCATTGGTTAATCAAACGTCTAATTGACAAACATATTTCATCCCCACCAATTTAGGTCAATGCCATTTATCTCTCTCTCTCTCTCTCTCATTCATGTAAACACAAAAACACCTACATCAATACAAGTACACACACACTACAGCACAATACCTATACTTACACCGCTGTAAACAAACACACACACACACACACTTACACACGACTATATAATCCCCATACTTACACCACTATAAACACACACACACATACACAGGTGCACACAATTTACGTGAGAACAGGTAAGTAATGACAGCCACAGCCATGGTGATTTAACACGTCCGGCCTGAGGAGCAAATGTTAACCTGTATAATTAACTTGTATTTACCGTCTCACAACTAACGTACAATGATCCGAGGTGTGATTTAGTGATTGACGTATACGATTAAGTGCGTAGGGTAAAAATACGGACAAATAAATTAACTTATGTTTCAGCTACGTATGATAAACCTCCATACATCTAAACAACGTACAAATACACCACCATACACCTAAACAACGTACAATACACCAATACACACTGAAGTAACGTACGACAAACCTGGCGTATAGTGGAGGAGAGTAAAAAAAAACCGTCATCAGCAACAATTACCGAACTAGACCTCACTCACGCTGACTCTATCATTAAAGTAACTTATAGACGAACACTGATGATTTTATGGACTATGATTCAAGTCCCCCTTCATCCTCGGGAAAAAAAAGTGTAAAATAAAAGGAAATGTAAACCGGATGAAGGGTCGTATTTACCACAGCAATCAAATGCGTTTTTATAGGTAACCATTGATAAAGTTATGAGCTATTATTAAAGTCTTCCCCCTCTAAGCCTTTGAGGAAAATGGAGGGACTGGGGGGAAATAGGAGGGAATGGGAAAGGAAGGATTATAGGAGGAAAGGGGGGGGGAATAGGGAAAACGGAGGAAAATTAGTAAAAATTAGGATAAATAGAGGGAAAACAGAGGAAAATGTAGGAAATAGGGAAAAATAAGTGAAAATATAATGAAAAATGGACGGAAAATGGGAAACGGATGAGGGACAAATATACCGTTTGTAATTGCGATGTTGTTTTTTCTTCTCTGTCTCTCTCGTCTTATTGCTCACTTATCGTGTTGCTTTTAGACGTCTAAAACAATAACTCACTCTCGTCCTCCTCATTACCCGGAGAAAACGAGAGAGAGAATGAGAAGCGGATAAGAGTGTATTCGTTAGTAGTGTAGTTCCAGCTTTTTCTTTCAGTTTGTCTTTGTTAAATATCTAACTTAAACCAGAGAAGTAATAAGTAAATAAGGTAATAAAATAAGTATTCAGGAATAAGTAATAAGTAAATAAGTATTCAGCAATAAGTAACAGTAATAAGCAATAGGTAATAAGCAATAAACCCATACGTGATGAAAGAAAGAGAAGGTGTGGAAACATAAAATAAATTAAAATGAGAAAGAAACGAGAAGGGGGAAATAATAATAACAGAAAATAAAGAACGGAACAAAACAGAAATCGTACAACAGAGACGTAATGACAGAAGACAGAGAACAGATGCAGGAAGACAGTATCTCACTCTTATTATTGTCGACTGTGTTACACCTGTTAATTAGATCATGGGGGGGAGGGGAAGGGGAGGTTAACAGGTAATTACTATGTGTGTTTGGTCATAATGGAGTCGAGTTAGGTTAGGTTAGGTTAGGTTAGGTTAGTTATAGGTTAGGGTTAGTTAGGCGTTAGGGTTAGAGTTGAAGCTAGTTAGGTTTAGGTTAGGGCAAGATGTAGTTTGCTGTAGCTGTGAAGCGAGGTGATGAGGTTGGGAGTGTGTGTGTGTGTGTGTGTGTGTGTGTGTAGGGATCATGTGAGGTCAGAAGTTATATATATGTGTGTGGGCGGGGGTGCCATGTGTGTGTGACGAGATGTATGTGTAGTGCAAGGAGGAAAATTAACTTGTAAACGAAATACCGAAAATAATTGAACAAATCGCCTCTCTCTCAAGACTTACAACCAATACTCAAGGACGATTGGTAGGGAGGGGGGGGGAAAACCATACACCTGGTATTAATTAATTTACCAAATGTCTCTGGTAGGTACAGTACACAGACATATTCGGCCCTCTGTTATAATTCTCGTTTTTCTAGGACTGTACATGTGGACTTCATTGTGACATTTCTCCCTCATAAAAATACACACATTGTTTAGTCCCTTCTGAAAATCCTGATGCCTCGAATATCCGTTTTTCTACCCTCCTTTAATGCACACCTGCACCTCTTTCATATTTCATATACACATAGTATAATCACAGACACACAAACACACACACACATACATACACACACACACACACACACACACACACACACACACACACACACACAACACACACACATACACACACCACGACCTAAACGGAAACATAAAATAATGACCTAATCTGATGATGTCACCTCTGTTGATCCAATTGCAGAAGGTCACAGGCCAGGCTCTTTCTCTCTCTCTCTCTCAAGATATACACCCAATACCGCTCCTTTTTCTTTTCTCCTCTTGCCCTCTCCTTAAGGTACACCTGAACTAGCTCTCTCTCTCTCTCTCTCTCTCTTCTCTCTCGCTTAACCAAATTACATTCTACTTTAACTGTACAACAAAAGCCATCATCATTAACTGTGAATTTTCGAAATCTCTTTGTTGTAGGAGATAGGGATAATGGGGTGGGGGAGAAGATAAAGATGAACGGACGTAGAGAGAGAGAGAGAGATAAAACGAGGAAAACAGGAAACAAAATGAGTGATAAGGGAAAAAACAGATAGATAGGAAGGTGAGGGAGGTAGGGAGAGAAGATGGGGTAAGATAGTAGGGAGGGGAAGGAAAGTAGGTTGGCAGGGAGAGAAGATAATAAGATAGTAGGAAGGGAGGGAAGGGTAGGTTGGCAGGGGAGAGAAGATGGGGTAAGATAGTAGGAAGGGAGGGAAGGAAAGTAGGTTGGCAGGGAGAGAAGATAAGATAGTAGGAAGGGAGGAAGGAAAGTAGGTAGGGAGGAGATAAGATGTAAAAGATAGTAGGAAGGAGGGAAGGAAAGTAGGTAGAGGGAGAGAAGATGTAAAGATAGTAGGAAGGAGGGAAGGAAAAGTAGGGGGAGGAGAGAAGATGGGGTAAGATAGTAGGAAGGAGGGAATGAAAAGTGGGGAGGGAGAGAAGATAAGATAGTAGGAAGGAGGAATGAAAGTAGGAGGCAGGGAGAGAAGATAAAAGATAGTAGGAAGGAGGGGAGGAAAGTAGGTTGGCAGGAGAGAAGATGTAAAAGATAGTAGGAACGGGAGAGGAAAAGTAGGTTGGGCAGGGAGAGAAGATGGGGTAAGATAGTAGGAGGAAGGAGGAAGGAAAGTAGGTAGCAGGGAGAGAAGATGGGGTAAGATAGTAGGAAGGAGGGAAGGAAAGTAGGTTGGCAGGGAGAGAAGATGGGGTAAGATAGTAGGGAAGG